CCGTAATATTTCGTAACATTACGGCTTGGAACCATTTGCATATTCCGTGATGGTTTTTATGCGGCGTTTTTGGCTGTTTTAAAATCCTATGAAGTCACAGTGAGCAACAGTTATAACAAATAAAGCTGGAGTTTCACCAAGTGACAACAACCGCAAGTTAACATAAATTATATAATAAATGACCTGAAAATAGTGATGTATATGAAAGGTACTCAATTAGACTACAGCTTAATAAATATTTTCTATATATTTCATTGCGTTTGTTCAATAGTAGTCTCTGGGATGATCCAGATTCATGTCGAATCCTTTCACTGAGTTCAGCCTTGAGTGTGCTGCAAGTAACCGACCACTGACCATTACCGACGTGTCGTTGTTAATGTCCTGGTGTAACGATTAACATAGATCGGTTCTAGGAGATAAACAGTGTTCTAACCGCCAACGACGATCTAATTGTATTTCGCTCGCCGACATTTATAATTTTATAGTACTTCAATTACTCTGATTACCTATCTTTATGAAACCTTTATTTTTCTGTACAAATTAAAAAAACGCTATTGATTTATAATTCTCATCATCATTATCATCATTACAGCCCTTCACAAGTCCACTTCTGAACATAGGCCTCCCTCAAAAAATGTCACACAGCACGGTCTTTGAACACCTGCATCCATTGCTTCCTGCATATCTTGCCAGATCATCACTTCATCTAGCGGGTGGCCGCCTTACATTTCGCTTACCGGTACGAGGCTGCCACTCGAGAACCTTTCTTCCTATTTGGTTATCGGTCCTTCGAGCTATATAACCGGCCCATTGCCACTTCAGCTTACTAATCCGTTGAGCTATGTCGGTTACTCTGGTTCTACTGCATCTTTATGAAACCTTTATTTTCCTACAAAAATTAAAAAAAAACACTAGTGATTTACAATTCTCTTATCGTCATGCAATTCTCATATTCTTTTATAAAGTTTTTAAACTGACTTTGATGATTCCCAGCTTTTAATACGTTTTATTTGCTTTGGCAACAACCTTGTAGATTATTATAATAATTATTTCTCTTTAAACAAATCACCATTATTCAAATAAAAATGTTTTAAAATGCTTTAACAACGTTTTATTTCGTCAATAAGTGTACTATAATCACCTGATCTGACCTATTGTTCATCCAGTACTTCGTGTCTTCGCTCACGGATGGTGTTTAACGCATTACCGGACTCCAAATCTGGTTCATGAGTTCTTTTGCAAATAAAATCAATAAACTTGATCGTTATTTTCATCGATAATGGCGAATTTAATTTTTCTTCCTGAGTTTTTTATGTAGGCTATAGATAAACGATAATTCAACAAGAGGGCAGAAATTTTGCTTCTCCTAGTACTTATTCTTCTTCTTTATCATTAAGCCTATAAAGTCTACTGCTGTACATAGTTCTCACTCGTTTTTTGGGAGAATTTTTATTGTCACTCTTGGCTCTTTAAGTACTATAATGAGATAGAGACTCTTATATCGCTATCTTGATATTTTTAAAATAATGGAAATAAATAAATATAATTTTTTAAATTCTTTTAATTAATATTTTATTTTGTGTAAAACATTAATGAAATCAAAATTATAAATGATGGTGTTTAAAGAATTTTAGAATTTTTATGATATCTAACTTTCTTGCTTCTTTATTTAGCAACCTCAATAATTTAAAATCCGATTCATACTTATACCTCGAAACACATAGTTTCTCATTTTTGTTTACTTTAACGTTTGCGAAGCGATTGAGAAAAAGAAGACACGCTGACCTGCATACGCAACATTAAATTCTAATCAGTTACTGACGGAGTTGCAAAAGAAATTTTCCTCGACAAATTGTGTTCAATTGTTTTTGAGTATTTTTTTTCTTTGATTCCAAAAAAAATTGGCACTGTCTGATAGATCTGTTTTTCCTTAGTGGGCAAATAGTATAAAATTAAAACTGGTTCCTTCAAAAAATATTTTATTAAATTTTAAGAAAAATACTGCCTACCAAAAACAATGTGAAAAGGGTCCCAGTCGGTTACAAAGTATGGTCGGAGTTTGTCAGTTTCCCCGATAAAAAGTGGAGATCTAAACGAGTACCAGGTTCCATAGCGATTGCGTAGATCATAGAAACAGGAATTAACAACGTTTTTTAATTGATCTGTAAGAAAATTTGTTACGTACTTTGATAGTGATTACATTTGTTGAATATAAAATTTAGTTATAAATTCAACTTTTATCCAAATTCACTGTTTGGATAAAACATATTTTCATGAAGTAAGGGTGATAAACTACCACAGATTTTATTTGACAGTAAGAGATGCTGTTGCCGATATATATCTACTACTATACTCGATTAAGATTCAAAATGCAGTTACGGTGTCTTCATCTAAGATTAAATGGAATACCTGTAAAAAGTTCAAATGAAAGAAACCGGTACACATCACACCATACGAAACACATGAGAACTAAGCGACTATTTTACACTCATGTGTTTATCGAACGTGGTTTCTCCGGTCTAGGCGAACGTAGTATAGTCATAATACACCGCAGCTTGGTAACACGTGGCAAAATCGTACTATACGAGTACGACTCTAGTGTGTATCGGAAGCCACAAGATCTTCCAGATATTTCACTTAGAGTTTTATTCTGACGGATCTCTTTTTATAATACAACTGGAAATTGATGTGTTTATTTCATCATAAAAATTTAAAAATCCTTGTAACTGCTTCCAAATTCTAAGGAATTTTATTTACTGAACCACTCGGCCGCCAGACGCAACCTTAAAATTTTAAATACTTAAATAGTTATTTCTTAACCTCACGCATTGTCAATGTACTACGTATTTGTTATAAAAATTATACCTAAAGATTAAAAAACGATGAAATGATCCTTTATTTTAAAGTAATTAATGTAATTGTAAATAACTTAAGTTTCGTTTCTAGCAGTATCATTTAAAAGAATTTATATAGCAGATAATATAAACTACTGCTGAATATATCCCCCTTTTATTCACAAGTTTCCCATGCTGTGATTTTATAAGCTGTTAAGAACAGCTTTTTAAATAAATGCCTGAGCTTCTTAAAAATAAAATAGCTAAATAAGTACTGATCTGTTTAAAATTAGATCCTTAAGCGTTATCTTATTAACGCATCAGAGTATATTGTCATATAGTAGTTTGCTTCTTGAATACCCGTAGCGGTTTGACTCCTAATTAACTTAATACATATTAATTAATTGTTAATATCATCGCAATATAAGATTACTTAACGCAGAAGAGCATGTATTTCAACAAGCAACTGGAATAAACTTATTTTAATTAAAGTTCCCTTAGTTTTGGCAATTGTGCAAAGGTAGTTGCGACTGGCTTTAAGTGAAAACATTTTGTTTGTAAACTTTCCTTTGGCTGCTCCAATTACTACCATTTACATAAAGCGGAGCATATTGATTTCAGCCACATAGGAATATTTTAAACTTGATTATGCAGTTTGCTTAAAATGTAAATGAATTTTAGATGATTATTGTAATGCAAATTTTAGGTTCCTTGATAACTTTCACAAATTTTTAGTTTGAGGAACCCTACATTTTATAAACATAATACTTGTACGTATTTACAATGAAAAATGATCTAATTTTGTAATTGTTATTGCTTATGATAAATATTTCTAAATAACTGATTTTATGTTCTCTACGAAAATGTTTAAAGTTATGAACGAAAACTTTAAAATAATGCATGTTTGAAGTATTGGGCAAAAAGGTTGTAACAACCTATTTACCAAATATTTAAATCACCCGCACGCTGTTACTCAAGAAACGAAACTCTAGCGATAGACAAATAGACGTATACCTATTCGAAAATATCGAATACAATCTCACAATACTGGTGACCAGAAACGACATTTACCAGTGTAAGCTTCTCTGTCTCATTTTAAATTAATGCATATGTTTAAAGTCTTTGGTAAAGGGGTGGAAGAGAGATGTACCAATAACCTCTTCAATGAATGCAATGCTTCAAGAAATAAGAGCATTTCTTAAAAAACACAAAAGACTGATAAAGGGAAAGTGAAAACATTGTTATTTAAAATGCTAATAATCTAAATAAATTTATGGGCATGTGTAATTATGTAGGTATGCAAAAAACAGTTTTCAAAATCTCTCATTCGATAACTTGTTAAATAGTAACAAGTTTTAACGATAGTATGCGATCATTTTATTTAGTTTTAACAATTTTGCGATTTATATATCTCGAGTAGGTTTAATTTCGTTAGTAGAATATTTAATTCAGTTAATAATAAAAATTTTATAACATTTAATTTATCCTTAGCTTTCACGAACTTTTTTAAACGTTTAAAAAATTCCAATTATGTTAAAATCAATCAAATGTAATGAAAAAATTTTTTTATTTATATAAAATAACCTCATGGAGTTCGATAATGGTTCTAAAATGTTAAGTTAAATTTCCCGAATGCAGTTTTTCTTATCAATTTTTCTTGCAATGCTTTATAGCCGACTCATTACAATGCCGTTCACAGTTCGTTCTCAGTCCGATCTCGGTCTTATAAAATATTATCAAGTAAAAATATTTGTGAGCATTCATACTATCCATAACAGTCAAGTTTCGCTCGAATCCCATTCCAATAATATAATAAATCAGACCGAGATCGGCCCGAGACAGAACTGTGAACGGCAAATCAGGATCAGCACTAAATAATAGGTTACTGAAGCGAGGTCCCCGACATGATGTTAAACTGCGTCGTACACCTTCTGATGTAAACACCATTCAGAGCTTAGGAAGAACTAATTAGTTCTTCAAGGTTTGAATAGAACAGTTGGCATCGATGCAGGAGGTCAACTTAGGGCGGCGACGAAGGTTTCACACGGCAACGACAGCATCCGCTAGCTCAGTCAGGTAGCTTACTGCACACCCTCAAACCGTAATGGACAAACATGGGGGTTAAATGTCCAATCCCCCAACCTTATGACACTTACCATCAAAAACATGCCCTCGGTGGCTCCTGCGGAGGAGTCACTAGTAGCGGTATACGGAGCCTCCCTGGAGCCACGGCGTTTCAAAATCTCCGTGTGGAGGATTCTAACCACTGTACGACCAAGGCTTCGCAGAAGGATTTCGATGCACTTCATGTTTGATATATTTCACACACAAACTTTGGAAATTGAAGATAAGCTTGAAGAACTTGAAATGCACTTGAAGGAGATAGGAATTTCGGAAGTAAGAAGAATGGGCGAAGATATCATTGAAAAGGTCAGTAACATTTTCTTTTTTACATTAGGAAACACCGGGTCTTTGCAGAGTGGATTTTCTGGTAGTAGTAAGAGGTGGAAAGGAAACATGATCGAATTTGTGTCACAATCTTAAAGGGTTGCAGTGCTTAGATTCCGTGTAACAGACAGGAAAACAGTAACATTTATACAAGCATATGCTCCTTGCTGCGGTCACTCAGGGGACGAAATCGAAGACTTCTACCATGCCTTGAACTTTGAAGATCATAAGTGCTCATGGACCATAGTGATGGGCGATTTCAACACTAAAGTTGGGCCTCGACTAGAAACTGACGATCTTAACAATCCAGGACTAAATGGATTAGGGGAAAGAAATCCGGGATCCGTTTTCTTCAATTTACCAGTAGTATAAAATTAAGTATCCGTAATAGTTATTTCTGCAAGAAATCTCATCGTCGATGGCTTTGGCAGGCCTTCTCCAAATAATAGGACAAAAATGAGATTGATTTCTTTCTCTCAACTAACAAAACTTTAGTGAAAAATGTAGAAATATTAAATAATTTAAAATTTCATTCTGACCATAGATTAGTACGCGCAAGACTGAAGTTCGACTAAAAATTCATAGATACCAAAGAATTACAAAATTAATAGGAATAGTAGATAAAAATACATTTATTTCCAATAAGAATGAGTTCAATTTAGTGTTACAAAATAGCTTCAAACATATAGCTTAATAGCTTTAGACATTAATAATATTGCAGATAATGATATAGAAAGCCAATAAAACATAATCGAAGATAACATAAGAGGGGCTTGTACGGCACTGAAAATTTCGGGAATCAAGGAAGTGACACAACATTACTATTTAAAAATGTATTTATTGCTTTTCAAAGTATTCTCCGCGAAATTTGACACATTTTTTCCATACGATGACCAATCATTGAAGCAACCATTCCATTCGGAAGTTGGGGTCTCCAAAATGGCCGTTTTGTAGGCGTCCACAGCTTCTTCAGGTGATGAAAATCTCTGTCAACGCAATTTATTCTTTATTTTAGGGAAAGTATAGAAATCATTATGGCTTAGGTCGGGGCTGTACGGTGGATGGTCTAATAATTCTATATTTTCTTGATCTAAAATCTCTTTTGTTCTGTGTGCGGTGTGAGAACTCGCATTGTCGTGATGGAGGATAATGCGGCGATTGCAGTTCTCTTTACGGAGTTCAGAAACGACCTGTGGCAAACAAATGCTAGCATACCATTCTGCATTAACCGTTCTTTGTCCCTCAAGAGGAATAGTCGTAACATGGCCTGGTTTTGGCGACAAACGTGGCCACCATTTTTTTTGCAACACTCCGTGAACGAACAATTTTTGTTGGCTTTAACTCATTTTCGAACACCAAAACTCGCGACTGGTTTTTTGTTTCGGGTTCGTACGCATATATCCAGGATTCGTCATCTGATACAATGTTGTATACAGTATTTGAGGATCCTGCGTGGAATCTTTCGAGAGTTCTGACGTACCAAGTAACGCGATCCGCTTTTTGCTCTTCACAGAGCGAATTAGTATAGAAATGAAAGGAAAGTATAGAAGTAAAGGAAAGTATAGAAATCATTATGGCTTAGGTCGGGGCTGTACCGTGGATGGTCTAATAATTCTATGTTTTCTTGATCTAAAATCTCTTTTGTTCTGTGTGCGGTGTGAGAACTCGCATTGTCGTGATGGAGGATGATGCGGCGATTGCAGTTCTCTTTACGGAGTTCAGAAACGACCTGTGGCAAACAAATGCTAGCATACCATTCTGCATTAACCGTTCTTTGTCTCTCAAGAGAAATAGTCGTAACATGGCCGGTTTTGGAGACAAACGTGGCCACCATTTTTTTGCAACACTCCGTGAACGAACAATTTTTGTTGGCTTTAACTCATTTTCGAACACCAAAACTCGCGACTGGTTTTTTGTTTCGGGTTCGTACGTATGCGTATATATGTATGGATATATGTATCCAGGATTCGTCACCTGATTCGATGTTGTATACAGTATTTGAGGATCCTGCGTGGAATCTTTCGAGAGTTCTGACGCACCAAGTAACGCGAGCCGCTTTTTGCTCTTCACAGAGCGAATGCGGTATCCATCGGGAAAACAACTTTTTTACACCTAATTGTTAATGAATTATTATTTGTATTTAACTCATGCCAATGTCTAAAGTTGCCTTAATTTCGCGGTATGTCACATGTCGATCTTCCTCAATCAGCTTACGCACAGCATCAACGTTTTCTTGGGTGACTGCAGTTTTTGAACGACCTTGACGGGGATCATCACTGATCTTGACACGTCTACGTTGAAATTCAGCAAACCAGCGATAAATTGTGGTTTTGGATGGGGCTTCATCACCAAATGCAGAAATCATCCGGTCAACATACTGTTTTTGTGTTAAACCACTTCGAAAGTCATAATCAATCATCGCTCTTGAATTTTCTCGAGTCAATTCCATTTTCTCAACGACTAAACAAGTTTGACAAAACCTTGTGACAAGACCGAGAATCTTTTTTTAAATAAATAAATGGTATTTGATTTTTAAAACCAAGGAGTTTTCAATTAAAAAGATTTTAATATGACAGGAACAGTGGAAATATTCCATTCCCGATACTTTTAGTGCAGCCTCTGTAATAAAATTAAAGCAAAGAAACAGAAACAGAAGAAAATTAGAAATTCTACCGAAATTCTTACAGACGAAAGAGAGAAAGCAATTCATAACACAGTAGAATATAGAGCTAAAGATAAAATTGTAAAAAGACCTATTCGTAAAGATATTCGAAACTATAATCTTAATCTATTTACTTCCACACTAGATAATTCAACGTCATTGAAAAGAGCTAAACAAGGTATAGAAGTAGGAAAATCAGCAATTTTAAGCCTAAAAGACGATCATGGTATAAGACACGGCGATAGACACAAAATATTACAAATATGTACCGAATATTAATCTAAATTATTTCAAAACCAAGTCGCCCCACAGTCTATTTCTGAATATATATGTATAATACCGCAACAATTACAGAACACGAAGTACGCCTAACTTTAAAAAGGATGAAATACCAGAAGAATCCCGGAGAAGATAGTACAACATTAGAGGCCTTAAAGTTTGGTGAACCTGTTCTTCTCCCACTACTACTATTATCTACTTTTGTCTTTAAATAAATTACATGAACATTTTCATTTCAGAAGTCTAACATCAATAATTACTGGTCCATAGTCTTATTTCACATCTATATAAAATCTTTATTAAAATAGTTGAGAACGGGATTAATATATAGCTAGATTCTCATCAGCCCCCCCCCCCCCGAACAGGTTGGATTTAAACCTGGCTTATCCATAATTGACCATAAGTGTGATGCATATATGTATCACTTCTGTATCTGGCCTTAATCGAATACTCTAAAGCATTTGGTAGTATAACACATGACTCTATTTTCAAGGCCTTACAAAATCAAAACATTAAATCCACTTACATACATTTACTTAAAAATATTTATAATAACAGTATCGCCGCAATAAAATTGAATACCACAAGAACTTTTTTCCCCATTATAAAATGAGTTAAACAGGGCGACCCGTTATCGCCGAAACTCTTCATTGCTACCTTAGAAGAAGTATTTCGGAAACTGGCACGTAGTTAACTTGAGAAAGACATCAAGATAGGATCGAAGATGTTAAGCAATCTTAGATTTGCAGATGACATTATTCTCTTTGCGTCCTTGGCCAACGAACTGGGAAAAATTTTCAACGAGCTACGAACAGCTAACCCCTAGAGGTTGAACTTCTGATGAATAGGAAAAAGACCAAGCACAGGATACATATAGATGACGTGAAGGTTGAATATGCTCATGAGTATGTTTATTTGGGTCAAGTAGTCACTTTCGAGACGAGGCTAGAAAAAGAGATCGCCCGACGAAAACAAAACGCCTGGAAAAGAAAAGGACCTTAAAACATCTGATGATAGGCGACGCACCAATATCCCTTAATCTCAAACTCATGGACATGTGCATCCTCAGTGCTGTGCTTGCTCACCAAACATCAGAGGTCCTACCTCGGGGTGTATCAAAGAGCAATGAAACGCAGCATGCTAGGGGTCAGGTTAACAGACCGCACCAGAAATACCACTTTGATACTGTTAATCTGCCAAACTAAAATGGAACTGGTCCAGTCATGTCTGCCATATGTCAGAAGAACTTTGGGCCAAAATTCGATGGATTCCTATAAATGGCAGATGACTGCGCTCCTTCATGGAAGACTGGTCCTACAAAGCACAGAACCATGAAAGGTGGAAAGAGGTTGGAGGGGCCTTTGCCCAGCAACGGGAGGTTATGGGCTGATAAGATAAGAAGAAGATGGAGCGAGGTATTTATATACACTTACTACAATGATTTTATCTAATTCTATACATGAATACATTGATATATAAAAAGTGGAATAGGCAATACACATATTAAGAACCAACCTCGTACTCGTATAACTAATTCCCAGATAAATGCGTTTACACTTATATAATTATTCAGGCTTGTTTTCATTCAATACAATTCATTTATAACATTGAAACTAATGTTTCGTAACACATAATTTCTCCATAATTCATAATATTTTATAATTCCAAATCTTTGCCGGAAAAGCCTTGTGCATTTGGCGGACAATAGCTAAAGTACTAAGGCTTTTTTTTTGTTATTTTATAAACTATTTTAAATCACTTGGAACGCATTCCAATTGTTCACACTTAATGACAGTAAAACATATTTTATTATTATTTATAATTATAATTATTATAATAGTAACTTAACTATAACTTAGCTAGTCTTCTAGACACACTATCAACAGATGGCGATGATTTAGAAAGTGTTTTTACTTAAGTTAAGCTTTTCATACTGTATAAGTTTGTAAACCACTATTTTCCTTTAATTTGTTTATTATGTTAATTAAAAGTATTTATAAATTTATTTCATTTGTTTATAAGTTGTTTTTATGAACATGACATTTTACATAAGATTACATTGAAGATTGTATTATTAATTAAATTACTATTTAATAAAAATATAGCATTTGTAGACAAAAAAAACTTAACTTATAAAGTATATTGTTTTCTACTTGTGTGTTGAAGAAAATGTATAAAAATCGATAAAACTATATTTTAAGTACACAAATTTATTTTTAAGTACAGTCATTTTATTATCTTAAAAATATTTACTTCGATTGAACTTTTCATGTATTCGACATATATGTTATTCTCTACAAGTACAAACAAAAATTAAGTGCGTGTCTATTAGATGGCTACGGGGCTACGAGAAAATAGTATGCACTTTATCAAGTTGGTATACGAATTTGAGGTTAAATCTAACTATCAATTACGTGTAATATGTAGGTTCTTTGTAAAATTCCGCGTTGATATGTTAGGTATAATATGACCGAGAAATTTTATGATAGATAATAATGCCAAGAATCTCAACAGATTTTATTCAAAATGCAAACTGAAAAATGTTAAATCATAAATGTAAAAAATATACAAACATATTAGTTACTGTTAATGTTTGTGTTTAGATCAGAAGTCGGTGCAAGTAATTAAAGCTCGAAAAACTCGTGCAATTAGTATTCAATAGTTAGTGGGATACTAACTGAGACGCAAACATTTACAAAGTAATTTAATCATCATCACTTGATTTCTAAAACAATTAGCTTAATCTCTAACACAACTATAAGTCTAGTCCTATTTTCTATATATTATAATACATATAATAAAGTAGTAAAATATAAATATATTAACAAAAACAAGTTTATCGATGTCCAGTGCCATTTATTTCACATAAAGTAAGGATGCCATTTTGCTAGGAAATCAGAAGATGTTGCACACCGGTGCCTTATAAAGCACGTAAAGCCGTAGGTCCTGCGGAAGATCTCTCTCCGGCCATGTCAAATCATCGTCCAAACTATGGGAGTAAAGGAAATAGATGTTGCACCTGTGCTTGCGTGTTGGGCACTATAATTCTGTCCCGCGCAGATGGCGAGTCTCCATTGAGTCTGGCTGCCGTGACAGAAATTCCGTCTGCAGGACATTACATCAGATATTTATTCAAAACCGACAGTACAAAGATAAGATAATAAATAAAATAATAATATATAGGTAATAAAAGCTTTTAATCAACATTACCAATAAACAGTTATTAAGTTAACTGCTATTGCTAGGCAAAGGCCCTTTTTTATTTGTGGGTTACATTACGATAAGCTCCTCCAGGACGTGTTGGCGGATTTTAGATGTTCTCGAAATATTTTATTCCTCAAATCTGTAGATTTTCTGAAAAATATTTGTTTGATGAATCTTCGTCGCTAAACAAACATTTAAAAAAATCTAAATAAATATTTTCTATTGTAACAATCATTACTAGAGAGATTATTCTTTGTTTTAATTATTGAATACTGCATTACTCTTAGCCTTTTAATATAATATAAGAAGTTAAAATGTATCTGTAATAATCATTAATAAATACAAATTACTGTATATAATATAATTACCGAGCTTAAAACAACATTAAATATTAATGTAAGTAAATTTATTTTAGTGGAACGTCTGCCTGCGTGCGGGGTCACAGACAAGAAGCAGGGATGACCTGTCTGTGATCTACGCAGCTGGGTTCACAGTTGCTGCCAGTAGGTAGACAACTCACACATAATGCGTTCCCGGTCTAGGTTCTAGTTGCGTCGATGTGCATTTGCAATAAATTAGACACGGCACACTTGAGAGCCAATCTTCGTGCACGGTAATCGGTTTTACGAAACTCCTCGTCTCCACGTAGATCGTTACACTATTACATTGTAAAATTTACGTTTAGTCTATGCACTAAAATTATATAGAAATGTATCTATCATAAACTGTAATATCTTTGAGCTCATACTCTTTCATAACATAATATCGAAATTGACAGAGTAATGTCATTTAACTAATGACTTTTGTTTTGACTTTTATCGGTTATTTATTAAGTGCACACAATTTTGTCTACTTTAGTAAATAAGTACCCGGTTGACCGAGCTTTGCTCGGTATTTTTCGCTCGGTTTTTTTTAATTCGTGTGTTTTGGAAATTATATTTAGATACAAATTACATACTGATGAAATACGAATAATATTTTTTGATCTTAGCGACATAATAGAAAAAACTGAACCGGTTATTTGAATAAAAAATCATGAATGCAATTAGTTTAATTTAAATTTTCGTGTTTTTAAAAAATACTAAAAAAAGGGCTCGAAAAAATAGATTTTCTCAAAAAAAGAAAGGAACTTGAAAAAAAAAATTAAAAAAAGTCGGTCGGTCGGTCTGGGCTCGAACCATGGTATTACGATTTTGTGACCGCCCAATATACCAATTAAGCTATTTTTTAATCATTAAGACATTTTCTATAAATAAATCCTAGTTACATCGATTTATTGCCCCCGAAACTCCCTGCACACAAAATTTTATGAAAATCGTTGGAGCCGTTTCCGTGATTCCGATTATATATTATATATATACAAGAATTGCTCGTTTAAAGGTAAACGATATTAAACACACGGCGAAATAGTATGATTACTATAAAAATAGATTACGTTCAAAATTATCAATCAAAAAAAAATCAAATACTTAAAACCCTACACAAGATTATCGATAACACGTCGATATCGATAACAAGAGATTGGCAATGCAAACCCACAAAACCCATAATTTAAAAGTCCGTTGCGCACGTCGTTTTCTATGTCATCATTATCATCAAAATGTGGTAGTACACAACGGTACATACTCGTAAGCCTCCCCCAAAGCATATCACTTAACCCGATCTGAGTTTCTTTCAACCACCGTAAAGAGATCGTTTCTCTATCTAGCTAGGGCGCCCCACATTTTGTTTGCCAATCCACTGTTTCTAATCTAAAACACGTCTACTCTAAGTGTGACCGTTTTTGCGACAAAAGT